GGGGGGGGGGGGGGGAAGCAGAGCGGGCTGCAGGGCCGGGGAGGGCTCGGCCTCCGCTCGCGGGCACCAGGAAGGCGCTGCGGCCCGAGGGAGAGGGAGGGCGAGGGCGGGGCCGCTCATTCATTCCTCACGACGTCCTCTGCCGGCCCCGCCACCCCCGGGCAGGGCAGGACCGGGCCGGGCTGGGCCGGGCGCCACCATCCCCGGCCGTGACTCTGCACAAACGGGGGAGGATGCGAGGCGCGGCCCGAGGGGCCTAATGCGCAGCCCCAGCCCCACTCACCTGGAAGTGCTCCTGGAAGCGTATAGGCAGGATCTGAGCCATGTCTGCGGGCGGCGGTGCCCGCGGGCGGTGCGGCGGGACACGGGACGATGCAGCTAGAGGCTCCGTCCGCCCCGGCGGCCTTTTCTGTGTGGACGCCGCAGCCCCCTCACTCCGCCGAATCACTCCGCCCGCCCCGGCCTCAGCTACTCAGGGTCTCCAAACAAGTAGTCCCTGCCCTTCCCCCGCTCCTCCGCTCCCGCTCCTTTGCAGCCCTCTCGCGGCTTCCCCCGCCCGCCGCGGCCACTCCTGCTGAGCAGCGTGTCGGGATTGCGGAGGGTAGACGGGGGTGGCTGCCCAAACCTGAGGCATCGGAAGGATGCAGGGAGGGAGGCACTTGTCAAGCCTTCGGTATCCTTCCGCCCAAGCCGCGGTGTCACGTGACCCCATCCCCATGGGGCGGGGGCAGCATGAGACCCGCAGGCGCTCATGCTGACCCGCTCTCTGCCCCGCGGTCCCTGCTCGCTGCTTGGGAGGGTTTTCCTGCCTTCCCAAGAGAGATAAGGTTGGGGGGTGGGCACAGTGCAGTGCCCCACGGGCGGGGGTGCCAGGCAGGACTCTCTTGCCTCCCCACGCAGCAAAGTAAGGGCCAGGACTATCAGCAAAGGTCTTCCTCCCCCAGCACAGCCTCACTGAAGCACAGGATGCAGCCCAAGGACAGACCTGGGTTACCCTGAAAATGAAGCCAAATTGGTGCTACGGCACAGTCGTGCAGACACAGTTTTTATGTGACACTAATGCGCAGTGCAGTAACTCTGCAATGTGTTAGTGCATTTGTGCGGGTTTTGCCAACCACGCTAATGTCCGTAGACCCAAGCCGCTCAAGGTGGCCCCTTGCCCCCTTCCAGTGGTGGCAGGGACGCGCGTCGTGTCACACAAGCCTGCCGGGTCTCTACTGGAGCCGGCTCTCTGGCAGTAGCAGCCTCCTCTGCGAGAAGCGCAGGCCTGGTCTTACATCCAACCCCGCACTGCCCGTGACCCACCCGAGGGACATGGCATTACAGGGACAGCAAGCTCCTGAGCACCATCACGCTGCCTTCAGCAGGGAGCTGAACAGATTTATGACCCATTAGTGATGTCTGATGCATGGTTAGGTTTCCCTGTGCCGTACACGAGTAGGAACGCCGCTCCTTCCCCTGGGCCTCGGCGTTATAAAGTGACCAGACAGCATGACCAAGAGCTGGGGAATGGCATCTCCAAATGGCCCATAAGCATTCTCTTCTCTTTTTTTTATCCCTTTCCCTTCCCTTGGGTGATTGTGATCAGCTGGCAGAGGAGTGAACAACGACAATGACAGTAATAGTATTCATGATAAATTGCAGCAATCAATTGTTTTACTTGAAGAAGGAAGCTGGCTGCTGCAGTATTTCCAACTCCTGCGATTTTATCCAGGGGCCTTATGCTCCTTTTCCTGAAAGCTCAGCTCCTGGAGTCATGTGATTGCAGGAGAATCTCAGGTTCACATTAAAAAAAGTATTTTCCTACCGTCCAGAGTAACCAAGAAAAGCTGAAAAAGTGACACCTAGGGGTTCAACACTAGAAGTCCGATGAAAAGAATTCCAAAAACTCACAAACTGTACACTTGTATTATTTTTCAGGCAATTACATAATTTTTAGAGCTGGACTCCTGGATTTCTTTTACTCTGCGGAACAGGGGGTTACCAGCACTGGATTAGATTTATGAAGGGATCGGGTGCTGAGGCATCCTGTTAACCTGCTGCAAACTGCAAGCCGGAGTTACCTGCCTTGGCTCCCTACACAATGCATTGGGACTAGGTGCCCAGGAATGGGACCCATAGGAGCCAGCGAACGGAACAGGCAGCCTGAACCAGTCAAAGAGAGATGCCGACAGAAAACATGACATAAGCCCTGCCCCTCAGAGGGGTTTGGGTCTCTAACTCTGGCCTGGGTGCATACTATTCTCTCCACTCACATTCCCAATGTGAACCTCTGGAGTTGTAGGCTCCTTTCCAAAACGGAGGAGGGACCATACCTCTGTCTTTTAAAATAGGAGTGGGGGTAGTGACGCCTCCAGCCCAGTCCTGGCAGCAAGTACTAGGCCATGAGCCTCTCTCCCCTGGAGAGTGCCCTAATAATGAGGCATTACAATCAGACTCTCTCTGGCCCAGCTGCATGGTGGAGTAGCTGCAAGACGACGGACTGTACACCCTACAACCTGGTGGGTCTGAATTTAAGTGTCCCACACCCACAGCTTTGGGGCTCTAGGCAACAGGAAGGGCACTGTCTCCTCAGGCCATTTTTTTTTTTTGGTTAGATGTAGGCTGAGCACACTTGTTTGATCAGTGAGATTGGCATAGGAATGCCTAGTTTGGAGGGGCTGAGAGGTGAAGCAGGCACTGAGCAGCTCCATGTTGTCAGGGATTTAAGCAGTTATGAGCAGCCCAGCATCAGAAACTTGGGTGCTTCTGGACTCAATCAGTTAAACCTTTGGTGCTGAGGGACCTAGAGCCCACCAGGAGGTAGACAGGGCTTTTGTGAATGCCACTGATGCTGAAAGGTACATAGAAAGGCAGTGGGGCACCCTAGTCTCTTTGCAGAGCCAGTCTACAATTGCTGCAGGCATTAGGAAGCAATTGCCCAACCTCTGCTATATCCTTCATTTCACAATCAGGTGGGTGTTTTGTGAGGGAGGTTGCCTGCCTCCCAGGAATTAGGTTTAGGCCACTGCCTCAGGGATGATCTACACATGGCTTTCAGACCTAGAAATCTCTGTTGGCTTAGAAACATAAAGTCAAATTAGTGCAACTCCCTAGTATCGACACGTTTACCCTATCATGAAGGGAGTTGTATTGGTACTGTCCTAAGCTGTACCCTTGTACAGCAGACCTGTGCCCACAGTTGTTCACCGAGTTCTTGATGTACTCCCCTGATGTAGTGGTAAGCCGCTATCAGATCCCCTCTCGACCTTCTCTTCTTTAGGCTAAAGAGGCCCAGGCCCCTCAGCCTCTCCTCCTATGGCTCGCCTTGCAAGTCCCTGATCATATGGGTGGCTCTTTTTTGGACCCTCTCAAGCTTTTCCATGTCCTTATTGAAATGTGGCACCCAGAACTAGATGCAGCACTTCAGCTGTGGTCTCTCACCAGTGCTGAGTACAGCGGGAGTATCACTTCCTTAGTCTTACATGAGATGCATCAGTTGATACATGCCAGCGTGTTGTTTGCCCTGCTGACCACCGCTTCGTACCGATGGCTCATATCCATACGATGATCAGTCATTACTCCTAGGTCCCTTGCAGCCATGGTGCAAGTCAAGCTGTCACCACTGAGCCTGTGTGTATGTTG